AAGGGGAAAGTTGTGACTTTTAGTGTCAATTCTTTATTAGATTGATTTGTAGTTGCAAGTTGTTGAAAGTTGGAATTAACGTGGAAGACTGTTTCTTCCTTTTATTTTTGAATTAAAAAAAAATATTTTTCTATTGGCTTATGCATCTTAACACCTTACAATTTTATAATTGGAGTCAATTTTCCAAGTATTTTATTATTCTAAAGATTACTTAAACATACAGATGAACCTGACTCTGTAACAAAATTTTCCATTTTAATTAACTAATTTGAATCTGAGTGTTACTCGTTTGTCAGATTGTTTTGACAAAATCTAATTAGTGTCATCCTTATATCGTTGCATTTAGTGGTTACTCATTGTTGAGGGATCCACACCATAACAAAGGGCTTGCCTTTACTGAGAAAGAAAGAGATGTCCATTATTTGAGAGGACTCTTGCCACCTGTGTGTGTCACTCAAGAGCTTAAGGTTCAAATCCTATTTCCTCTAAGAAATTGATTCCCCTAATTTTATGCTTAATAGCTTTTACTAAAACTTAAGGTTGATCTCATGTTTCCAGGAAAAGAAGCTCATGAATAGTCTTCGCTAGTATCAGGTGCCCCTTCAATGATGGTATTGATGGATCTTCAAGTTTGGGCTTATATAATTACGTTGTTTTGCAATATTTGGTTGGACATAAAAAGTTTGTCGATGCCTTTCCGTTAATGTTTTTTAGGAGAGAAATGAGAGGCTTTTCTACAAGCTTCTAATAGATAACATTGAAGAGTTGATTCCTGTTGTTTACACACCTACAGTTGGCGAGGCTTGCCAGAAGTATGGTTGCAATGCATCTTTAGGCGGCCACAAGGTCTTTATATCAGTTTGAAGGAGAAGTATGTTGCAATTCCTTGTGCTTCTTTTGTATTTTGGTGATTTTTGTAACTGAAACTGAAAGGTTGCTTGATCTTGCAAAAGGTTCTTGAGGTGTTGAAGAATTGGCCTGAGAGGAGCATTCAGGTTATTGTGGTTACTGATGGTGAGCGCATTTTGGGGCTTGGAGATCTTGGTTGTCAGGTCAATTTGAAGTTATTGCAGTTAGTTTGTGTCATTGTCATCCTCTTTGCCATGAGACCTATCATTTCTTCCACTAGTATTATGATCTCTCACTGTTTAGTAAAAACATTGTACATACAGATTATTTGGATCTACTTGCAAAGTTTGCTAATATCCACCCTCTTCTAACTCATGTAATTATGGTTGATTTGCAAACTATTTGGATGCTCTGACCATCGTATGTGTAATTTCCATTCTCCTTCTTGCATCATTTCCCTTGATTCAGCTGCATCTTCATGTACTGATCTTCTTCTTGGTTGGCAAGCCCTCATATCAGATATTTTGTTATTGATGCAAGATATATGGTGACACTAATGTTTGGAGTTCAAAGTGTTTGGGACTGCTGATGCATGTTTGTGCCTGTCAATGTTTCAACTATATATCTATGGGGTAGTCTATTGTAAATCATTCTAAGTTGCATAATTTAAAATCTGAATATGAACATATCATTGTTTATTTAATTTCATCAAAGAAGAAGTATTGTTATCAAGTGCTTCATCGGAGCAAAATTAGTAAAAATATCTCGTTGTGACCAATAAGTAAGTTGCTTTTCACTATAGTTCATTTCAACATTAAACTATGGTGTCAGTAAAAGCAATTTCCATCAACAAAATGAAACCATAAACATAATCACTTAATTATGTATTGAAACTTGCCTGAGAGATCATAGGCTAGTTAAATGGTATTACATTTGCACTTCTTATTTTAACAAAAAGGTCAGTAGTTTCTAAAGTGTCAAAATTTGCAGTGAGGAAGACAATCTTAAGGGACTCCGTGATCTGATGAATGACAGTTATTATAGCTGCAGTGTTCTGTATGAGTGCAGATAAGTTCTCTGGTTATATTAGTCCTTTAAATCTTTCATATTTTGCAAGTAGTCCCTCAAATTTTCTAGTTGTTTTAAAATTAAGTCATTGAAATTGCTTTTGGATACCCCAATTCCTATAAGTTGTTTCAAATTCATCCCTAATTCCTACTTCAACTCTCTTGATTGGAGGGAGTAATTTCAAAATATGAAAGATTTAATGGAATAAATTGAGAAAACCTATATAAAATACTTGAGAGAACCCGATTTTAGTGGTGGAAAATCTTAAGATAACATGCTATTTTTAACCTTCTCATTAGCTCATAGATCTGTTCTTAAATAAACACCATGACAGTATCTATTTCGCAACTTGAATATGTGATTTATTTCATTAACTTTAAACATTATTTATGCAAGCGGAAGCTATTATGTAATTGTATCTAGGAAAATTCAAGCATTATCTCAACAAGCTATTTATAATACTCATGCCTAAGCAGATACAAAATTTATATTTGTTTCAAGTGTTTCAAGCTATTCTAATATTACGTTCATATCATCGAGCCTATCGTGATGGCTTCTGCACACCTGACCATCAAGAGGTGTTCATATCATGGATATGGCTTTGTGCACACCCGCACCACGTCCATGACCCTCTTTTCAGCCGTAATTGTTGATAGCCGCAGTTGTAGAAAATACAAAAAGGTGGCGGGCCCCCAAATTAACTGCACTGAGAGAAATTGTACCGAAAGAAAAAAAATATTAAAAATTTGTGAATATTATTTTCCCGGCTACTATAAATAAGCCCAAACTCTTCAAGAAAAATCCATCACAGAAACAACAACTCCACATATAGAAGAGTGAGGGAGAAAAATAGAGAGAGTTTCTCCTTATAAAGAGAGATTGTAACTCTAAAGTTTTTCCTCATAGTGGATTCTTCTATCATTAATCGTGGTTTTTACCCCAAATTTATTTAGAGGGTTTTCGCATAAATCTGTGTATTCATTTTATTATTTCTGCTCTACTATTCGCTGGGACCTTGTTCTATTGTGCCCCGAATTTGTCCCAACAAGTGGTATTAGAGCTTGTCTTAGGATGCGTGTATCTACTTATCGTATATTCTGTGGCTGTCACCAAAGGTGGATCCTCCACATAAAAAAACAAGTTAGATTATCATTTACCCTTCGAATGTGACGAGCGCTATTCACGAGTACAGTATTGTTCATAAATACGGTATTATTCACAAGTACTATACTATTCACGAATGAAATTACTGCTCATAAATATGGTTACTATTTACGTGAAATAGTAAAAAGTTACTATTCATGGTAGAAGCATTGATAGTGAAGTTCGAGATCGAGAAATTCAATGGGAGTAATTTTTCATTGTGGAAGTTGAAGATAAAGGCTATCTTGAGAAAAGATAATTACCTAGCGGCCATTGGTGTAAGACCAGATGACATCACAGATGATAAGAACTGAAACGAGATGGATGAAAATGTTATTGTTAATCTCCATCTGGCATTAGTAGATGGGATGCTATCAAGCATAGAGGAGAAGAAGATAGCAAATAAGATCTAGGATACTCTAACAAAGCTATATGAGGCCATATCCCTACACAACAAAATCTTCTTAAAATGAAGATTTTACACTCTAAGGATAACGAAATATACATCGATGACCGACCACATCAATACTCTAAATACACTGTTCTCCCAACTCACAACGTTAGGGCACACAATCGATGTGAATAAACATGCAAAACTTCTGCTTCAAAGTCTATATGACTCGTATGATCAGCTCATCATCAACCTAACAAATAACGTCTTTACGGACAATTTAGTCTTCCACAACGTTGCAACCGCTATTCTGGAGGAAGAAAATCAGTGCAAGAATAAGGAAGACAGGCAGACAAGTTTGCAACATGCGGATACCTCATCGGTGACGAGAGGAAGATCAATGGAATGTGGCTCCAGTGACAGTTATACTTATGGTAGATCAAAATCAAGAAGTAAGAAGAATATCATATGCTACAAATGTGGCAAAAGGGGGCACGTGAAATCGTAGTGTTGGCATAATAAAAAGAGTGGTGATAAAAAGTCTTCAGAGCCATCAACATCTCAAGGATGCATTGTCAGCATATCAGACGATGATGAAATTTTATACAGTGAAGCAATCACTGTTGATAAAGGCAGAAAGAAGTTTGTTGATATATGGCTTCTAGATTCAGCAGCTTCATGGCACATGACCTCCTGTAGAGAATGGTTCCACAAATATGAACCTATCTTAGGAGGATCTGTATTTATGGACAATGATCATGCCTTAAAAATTTTTGGTATTGGTACTATTAAAATCAAAATGTTTGATGGTATAATACACACCATTTAAGATGTACAACACGTGAGAGGCTTAAAGAAGAATATATTGTATTTAGGACAATTGAATGAGCTCGGATGCAAGACCCATATATAAAATGAGATCATAAAAATTGTTAGAGGGGCACTTATTGTGATAAAAGGAGAAAAGATAGCTGTAAATATATACATGCCCAAGGGAGAAACTCTGCAGGAAGCTGATTCATGTGTGGCATCAACTAGCCATGGAGAAGAACAAACCATGATGTAGCATCGCAAATTAGGCCAACATATCAGAACGAGGCTTGAAGATTATCTCCGATCAGAAGATGCTTCTTGGACTTAATTCGATAGCTCTTTCATTCTGCGAGCATTGTGTTACAAGTAAGCAGTATCGGTTGAAGCTCAACAATCGAGTTCTAGAAGCAATGCTATCAAAAAAAATGATTCATTCTGATGTATGGCAAGCACCAATTATATCCATGAGAGGAGCAAATATTTTGTGTCCTTTATTAATGATTACTCCAAGAGATGTTCGGTGTATCCTATCAATAAGAAGGCAGATGTGTTATTAATCTTTAAAGCTTACGAAGCGCGAATCGAGCTTGAATCTGAAAAGAAGATCAAGTGCTTGAGGTCGGATAATGGAGAAGAATACACAGACAGTGAATTTCTTACATTTTGTAAGGAAGAAAGTATCAAAAGATAATTCAATACTGCTTATACTCCTCAACAAAATGGAGTAACGGAGCAGATGAATAGAACTCTTGTGGAAAGAATAAGAGCAACATTGGCAACCGCAAAATTGGATCAAGTCTATTGGGCGGAAGTAGTAAAAAACTATCTGTTATATGGTGAATCGATCTCCATCAATAGCAATACAATTAAGCTGATGGAGATGTGGACCGGTAAGCCAGCTGATTATTCTAACCTCCATATATTTAGAAGTCCAGTGTACGTAATGTACAATGCCTAAAAAATTACAAAGCTAGATTTAAAATGCATATATGCTGACAGAGTAATGGGGTATCACTTGTGGGATCTCACTACCTGCAAGGTTATCATCAGCAGAGATGTTATCTTTGTAGAGAACCAACTATAAAGTAAAGAGAAATAAAACTGTTCAAGAAAAAACTTAGAGACTATAGCTGTTTAGGTAGAAAATGATCCAAATTCTTCTGAAGTAACACCAGAGCATGATGTACAAGAACCAGTCGAGTCTGAGGTTCTAGAAATTCGAAGGTCAACTCGTGAGAAAAGACCGTTGACTTAACACTCGAAGTATATTACGGAGAGTAATTTTGCATACTGTCTTCTAACAGATGATAGCCATCAACTTTCCATGAAGCTATAAACAGCACAGATGCATCTTTGTGGATGACAACAATACAGGAAGAAATTGAAGCTCTCCATAAGAATAAGACTTGAGTACTTGTGTCACTACCACAAGGAAGGAAGACTATTGGAAATAAATAGGTCTACAAGATCAAGTAGAGCAATATCTTGTTATATTGGTAATAAAAGGATATGCTCAAAAAGAAGGTATTGGCTTTAATAAAATATTTTCTCCTGTAATTCTAGTTACAACAGTCCGAATAGTTCTGGCTATGAGCGCTATATTTGACTTACATCTATAGCAGCTAGATGTGAAAATAACATTTCTTCTTAGAGATATTGAAGAAGAAATTTACATGCTCCAACCAGAAGATTTTGAAGAAAAAGGAAAAGAGAACTTAGTTTGCAGATTGAACAAATCTTTGTACGGTCTAAAATAGGCGCCGAGGTGTTAGTACAAGAGATTTGATTTATTCATCATGAGCCTTAGATACAAAAGACTTAATTTAGACCATTGTGCATATTTCAAGAGGTTTTGTAAAAATAACTTTCTTATTTTATTGTTGTATGTTGACAACATATGTTGGTTGCAGGCCCCAACAACGATCGTGTTAAAGAATAAAGGCATAGTTGGCTAGAAAATTTAAAATGAAATATTTAGGATCTACAAACAAGATTCTAGGGTGTGCAAATTTATCAAGACAGAATTAATAGAAATATTTGACTTTTTCAGAAGAATTATTTGAAGAAAATCTTGCGGCGCTTTAACATACAAGATTATAAGTTAATTTTTACTCCACTTTCTATTAATTTTAAGTTGTCCTCCAGTATGAGTCCTAGCAGTGAAGAAGAGAGGATGGAGATGTCTCGAGTATTGTATGCATCAGCAGTGGGAAGTCTAATATTCGCTATGATTTGTACAAAACCAGACATTGCACAAGTAGTGGGAGTGGTTAGTCGATACATGATGAATCCTAGTAAAGAGCATTGGAATGCTATAAAGAGGATCCTAAGATACATTAAGGGAACCTAAAATGTTGCATTATGTTATTATGGGTGGATCATATTTTATTGTCAATGAATATGTTGATTCTAATTATGTAGGTGATCGTGATAGTAGTAAATTTGCCACAAGCTATGTGTTTGCAATTGCTGGAGAAGTTGTAAGCTAGGTTTCAAAATTACAATTAGCTATGGATACATCAATAACAGAAGCTGAATATGTAGCAGCTACACAAGATAGTAAAGAGGCAATGTGGTTGAGAATGATACTGGAGGAACTAGGACATGAACAAAAGAAGATTTCCCTATTTTGTGACAGCCAAAGTGCTTTACATTTGACAAGAAATCTAGGATTTTATTCAAAGACAAAACACATTCGAGTTCAGTACCACTTCGTTCGTGAGAAAGTGGAAGAATAAACAATAGATATGCAGAAAATTCACACTAAAGATAACCTAGCAGATTTTTTTGACAAAAACAATCAGTACTAACAAATTTATTTTGTATCGATCCTCTTGTGGTCTGTCTGAGATGTGAGCAACATGAAGATGACATGATAAAAAGAATGGTGTGAAGATATGATTGATACCCAATCAAATCTTTAAGTAGGAGATTGTCAGCCGTAATTGATGACAACCGTAGTTGTGGAAAAATTAAAAGGTGGCAGGGCCCCAAATTAATTGCACTGAAAGACTCCGCATCGAAAGAAAAAAATTATTAAAATTTTGTGAGTAGTATTTTCCGGACTGCTATAAATAAGTCCAAAACTCTTCAGAAAAAATCTATCCCAGAAACAACAACTCCACATATAGAAGAGTGAAAGAGAAAAATAGAGAGAGTTTCTACTTGTAAAGAGAGATTGTAACTCAAAAGTTTTTTTCCTCATAGTGAATTCTTCTATCATTGCCCGTGATTTTTATCCCAAATTTATTTAGGGGGTTTTCCATGTAAATCTGTGTGTTTATTTTATTAGTTCTGTTCTACTATTCGCTGGGACCCTGCTCTATGAGGCCCCGGGTTTGTCCCAACACTCTTGAAGACATGAGAATATGAACTTCAATCGACATCTTCTGTCCTCTCTCCATCATCTTCCACTTCTTGTTTTTTTCTCTAATTTTAGACCGTGAGTCAACAAGAGTGATAGCTCTAATAAAGATGAAAGCAACATAATAGGTTAGAAAACTCCAAAATTAGGTAAATTTCTCTTGATCAAACACGAGAATGTTTAATAAGAGAAGCAAATTTCTTGCGATCTTCGGGGCAAAAGTTGCAAAATTCCTTTTCATCAAACTGATGATACCAAAAAACTTCAAACAATTAGGGAGGATCCTCAAAGTGACTAGAAAAATGACGCAAAAGGTTGAGACATTTTAGAAGATGAGTGAAATTCCTTAATGCTTCTCCATAACCTTTCAAGCTAAGTAACAGAGACACCTTGCATAAATAACTATGTCCATGTCCAACATAATGTCCGACACAGGATGTACTGTCCAAGTGTTGAACACGGTAAACAATGTGTAAACAAGATTAAAAGGTGATCAGCATGTATCAGGACATTCCTCTGAAAAATAAGTGTCGGTTAACTCGAGTTTGGACAAACATGATTGACTGGCTTTCCACCTGCAAAGATTTGGACCAAGTAGCTTACTATGCCCTTCTTTTAACATATTATGATTCTCTCAAGCGTAAAGTTTTTTCACTCTGTTATCTTAGGGTCATTTTTGTTGTGCGCTTTTACGAAAAGTACTCGCACACCAAACGAGTTTGCGAGTCACAGGAGAAGATAACCAAACCAAACACGAGCATAATCCAATCCAAAATATAATAAATCAAATCAAACACAGATATATACATGGTTCGACAATTTGCCTACGTTCACGGGGAGAGGATGGGGAAATTCCGCTAAATCAAGGAGAGTACAAAGGGTTACAATCTCAAAATCACTCAAATAAACCCTAAACCAAAGCTCTCTCCTTGCTCATAATATCTCACTCTCACAATGCTCAGTACAATCTCAAATCTCTGTTAAAACTCTCCTCACTTTTACCCTAGAAACAAGTGTTTTTAATTTATATCAAAATCCAATCAGAAAACGAGCATGAAACAAAACAGCCCAATACCCGCTACGTGGTCGACCGCCGAGCCAATATCGCGGACGACCGCAAAAAATCCAGAGACTTAATCACCTGCAGAGCTTGGGCGCGGTCGATCGTAAAACCCATCGCGGTCGACCTCTAAAAGTCCAGAGACTTTCCCTGGCACCGTGCACGTTTACGGTCGACCGTCGTGCCACTCGCAGTCGACCATCGTGCCACTCGCAGTCGACCATAAAACTGCATGTTTGTTTTTCTCCTGAACTTCATCGTTTCTATAATTCTCCACCTCGGCGAACGTTTTCTTAAAACTGAGCCGATACTAATACCAACCAAAATGTCTCACTTGTTGCGTCCAGTATGAAGTGGAATAAACCCACGACACCGGACTCAATCCACAACAAGTCGGGAACCCAAATGAGAATGCGAACAATCTCCAAATATCGGTATCAACACATCAAACCGGCTGCATCAAATTGACTGTCTACATACCCTCTCTTCTAAGGAATCAAGTCGTCCGTAGTTCATCCAAATGGCCGTCAACGGCCTCAACAAACACAAATGTGCAACAAGTTCCGACAATAATCAAATTTGTTACTCGGAACCACCTTAGTGAGTATATCCGCCGGATTATCCATCGTGTGGACCTTTACAATCTTCACATCACCATCTTCAAGAACATCCTGAACGAAGTGATAACAAACATCAATTTACTTCGTTCGCGCATGAAAAACCAGATTCTTCGCTAAATAGATAGCACTCTGTAGGCATATAAAATTGCTTATAGGTCCCTTAGCACAGCTCGGCACAAACCGACGAACCAACGAGCCGACGAGAGCAATCGACGATATCGCACAGCGAAGCAACGGAGATACATCCGTTCGCCATTTGGAAATCCAAGCCAAGTGTTAAAGAGCAACGAGTGGATCCAACCAAAGGACAAACTCGGACGAAATCAACGATCGAATCAAGAATCAGTTTTCGGACGTCGGAACGTCAAAGCGGATTTTACTGCGCTAATCAAGGATGCCAGATTTACTGGCCAAATACAGGATCGGATTTACTGCCTAATCAGGATCCAGAATTTACTGCCAAAATCAGGAATCAGATTTAGCTGCCGTAAGTGGCAGGATCCAGATTTACTAAGCTAATCAGGATCCCAGATTACTGCTAAAACGAGGAATCCAGATTAGCTGCCTAATCAGAGATCGCAGATTTAACTGGCCAAATGCAGGAATCAGATTTAACTGGCCCTAATCAGGATCCAGATTTACTGCCAAATCAGGAATCAGATTTTAGCTGCGCAAAATCGGGATCTAAATCAACCGATATCAGCGAGACCAGGAAAAAACGGGCAAAAACGCAGCAACACCCAGAGGTGGCCGACAGTTGTCATTTTCGCGGCTGCAAACCCAGAGGCTCCGACAGTTGTCATTTCGGCGGGCCACCAGAGGTGGCCAGACAGTTGTCATTTCGCGGCCACCCAGAGGTGGCCGACAGTTGTCCATTTCGCGGCCACCCAGAGGTGGCGCGACAAATTGTCATTTCGGCGGGACCCGCGAGGTGGCCGACAGTCTGTTCATTTCCGCGCCAACCCAGAGGTGGCCCGATCAGTTGTCATTTCGCGGCGACCCAGAGGTGGCCGACAGTTGTCATTTCCGCGGGCCACGCCAGAAGGTGGCCGAGCAGTTGTCATTTTCGCGGGCCACAGTAAAGGGAGGCCTATAAATACGGCCCCCTTGGTTCACTTTTGTTCAAAGGGTTGGAAATCTTGGAGAGGCGAAGCCACTGGCTGAACGTCGGAACTCAAGAAAATCCAAACAAGATTCAAACTTTAGGACTTCAAGGACTTGCTCATCCAGATTCTGGTGCTCGCGACCGTCAACAGGCCAAAGTAAGGCAAGGTGTCGAGAGGACCAGATCTCAGATCTAACAGCGTACGAACTCCGAGGATCTAGGCTTGGTCTTAGTCCCGCGAGACTTGAGCGATTGTTCCTGGTGAATCAATCCTCCGCGGTCTATTATTTCACTTCGTGGATAATACCCGTCGTACTGCGTAGATCGCGACCGGATTCTTAGATTCGCGGCCGTGGTGCCACAGGCAAACAACGCCCGGCGCAGGCAAAAGATACACATACAAGCGAAGAATGCGCGCAAAACAGGAGCTCGTGATTCGTTCGACAAACAAGAAAAAAGTTGTAAATCTTCTTTTATTTTATTTTGATTTTCATTGTAACGCGGATCTTAATAAAAAGACCGGATGCTTTGTAACCGATAAACTGTTAACAAAAGTAATTTCAATGGGAATGCAATAAAGAAAAGCAACGGGTTTTCCCGCGAACAAATCTGGCGACCACAAGTGGGAGCCCCGCCGTCTCGCTGGCCTGAGATCGGTGGAGTCGCTAGCCGCGGATGCTTGATCCCAGTCAAAGGAGAGGTAGAATACGAAGTTTCGATCAGACAAGTTTCGAGGAGTAACCTTTCATCCTCGTGGCCAGTATCTACCCCCCACCGCAAGTCAAAGAAGTCCAAGTTCTCCTCGCAGGAGAAAAATCGTGTGGTTGAAGAAGTCGAAGCCACCAAAACGAAGATCTCGCCCCGTTTTGATGGGCCAAAGTCGCATCCGGGTGAGATTCCTCCAGTTTCCAACCAAGATGCAGATCCTGCTCTGGCCAACCTTTCTGCCGCAGGGGCGTGTGACTCTCGTCGAAGAGAGCCGCCAAAGGAAGTCGCCTTGCGAAACCGATTCGCAAAGGCCATGGGTGTTGACGGGATCCGCTACAACACGCGGTCTGAGAACAAGAAGAGGAAAGTCATACAACAGATGGAACGCGCCTCTTCCAAGCCGGCGCAACAACTGACTGGGTCCGTGTCAAATTGGAATCGGTTGCGAATCGCTGGAAGAACGCATTTCGCGCAAAACGCGCGCGCAAACTATCAATCAGCGGCAGGCACGGGCTCAAGCCGAAGAAGCCGTAGAATGTGCAGAAAGAAGTGGCCAAGGACAGCGCGCCACCGAACGTCGGCCAAAGTTTGGAGGCGCGAAGTCTGAAGCGGCGGTTCAGACG